TTTCAAATTCTTCCCAAATGATGTTGAACAGATTGAGGAAATGTTCACAGTATTTCCTCTAATATTTGTTCTTCTGAAAAAGTCTTATTTGTTTATTTCTGCTAGAATAAAAGCAGTTTTGAATTGTTTTAAAGCCATTTTAAGGTCAATATTATTAACCCCTTCAGCAATATTAGTGTTGGATTGTCTCCAGAACAAACCACTGTTATACAATGACTTGCCTAATTACCCTAACTTTACCCTAATTACCCTAGTGAAGCCTTTAAATGTCACTTTAAGCTGTATAGAAGTGTCTTGAAGAATATCTAGTCTAATATTATTTACTGTCATCATGACAAAGAGAAAATAAATCAGTTATTAGAGATGATTTAACCTATTAAAACTATAATGATTAGAAATGTGCTGGAAAAATCTGCTCTTCGTTAAACAGAAATTGGGAAACCAAATTCTGACATCAACAGTATATAATTTTTATTATCTGCCTAACTATTTTTCTGCTCTCCTTGTATTTTTTATGTAAAGCGCTTTGAGATTTAAGTTTAAAGGCGCTATACGAAAATAAATGATTACTATTACTTACATTGGGGAAATAGCGAGCGTGCGGTGTGAAATGTCGAGGGAACCCCATGTGTGGTGTTTTGATGGCGACTCCCATTGGAACAGGACCCAGAAGAGACGCTCGAGACCCAGCAGCGAAGAACGGAGGAAACTGCTGACCTCCCATAGCGAAGCCACGCATGCTGCCTGCACACAGAGACATGCGGAGAAAAACAACAAAAGCATTAATCTGGTGACAGTTCTGTCTGGTTCTTGAATCTGATTGGCTGATAGCCATGTGAAATTTAGCAAATAACCCACCCTTCACCCTTGTGTACACTGAAAAAAATATTCAAAGATGATTCCTTGGATTAACTCATTTTTTTAAGTGGTTGTAATCAATTTATTTGGGCTGAATTTAAACAAACAAATTAAGTTGAACATTATTGAATTTAATTAGTTTGTTTAAATTCAACACAAATAAATAGTTTGCAACAGTTCTGCATGCAACACTTTTTTCAGTGTATTACTCCACCCACATACAGCAGGGGTGTCAAACTCAATTCCTGGAGGGCCGAAGCCCTGCACAGTTTAGTTCCAACCCTGCTCCAACACACTTACCTGTAGGTTTCAAACAAGCCTGAAAGACTCAATTAAATTGATCAGGTGTGCTTAATTAGGGTTGGAACTAAACTGTGCAGAGCTGCGGCCCTCCAGGAACTGAGTTTGACACCTGTGACATACAGCAACAAGCGGTGGACACTCTACATTTTGTTAAATATTGCAGCTGTAATATAATGTACTTTTAACTACATTAATAATAATGACCTTTTGAGGCTTTTTCAGTCGGGAATGCAGTTTATTTATAAGGATAGTGCCTATTTTAAACATTTATAATTTCTGAGGGACAGCGGGTCAGCTGCTATTAGCCTGTCATTGAGCAGACCGAAGAAGGTTGACAATCCATCACAAGATGGTGACAGAGACCGCATAATTAGCCCTAAGACAGGGGTGTCCAAACTCACTCCCGGAGGGCTGGTGTCCTGCATAGTTTTGCTCCAACTTCCCTTAACACACCTGCCTGGAAGTTTCTAGTATACCCAGAAAGAGCTTGATTAGCTGCTTCAGGTGCGTTTAATTGGGGTTAGAACTAAAATATGCAGGACACCGGCCCTCCAGGACCGAGTTTGGACACCCCTGCCCTGAGAGAAAAACAATGTAATTTAAAACTACAGCTGATCAAATCATTATTAATCAATGGATTCATTATTAATGAAGTTTGTGTGTGTGAAGTTTCAGTGCACAAACAATGTTAACTAATGTCCAGCTCTCTGAAACTGACCCTTTCAGGCTTTGATCCTAATTGTGACGTTTTGGTGACTGTCGCTTTAAATGCAAATGAGATTGTGTTTTTTTCAGAAGAGGGCGGAGCTACAGATGCATATGCGTGAGCATAGTAACAGATGTAAAACAGCAGTGTGTGTGTTATGTGTGCTTCAGTGTGACTGTGTGCTTGATGCTTCTGTCAGTCTATGTGGCTCCTGTCGCTGTTCATCTACATCTCCACATCTATAATCCTCTTAGTCTATGCTGACATTATCTTCAGCAGCTCAAACACTCTAATGGCTAATGGACAGACGGCTGCTTCTCACTCAGGCCTGCTGGAGATGCTAATGAGATGGAGAGATGGGCGCTAGTGGGCGGGGCTTTCCCCCTCTGATGACACGTACAAAGGGAGAATGCCAATCACAGTGTTTCACTCATCAAGTCTGATCAGAACAAACTCAATTCATTACTGTTGAGCATTAGAGACTGGAGATATTCACATACTGCTGATACACAACCGGGTTTAAACCACGCATAAAAGTGATTTCTGCATCACGTCTAGTGACTGCAGGTGTCTTAATATAGTACACTCTACATTGGTCTGGCAGGATCATGCATGTGGCTCAGTTTACCCTGCATCTGTTGCATCAGCAGCGCCCCCTGCAGCATGGGATTGGGAGCGATGATGGTCTGCGTGGCGGAGCAGAGGTTCACCATGCGGGCTGGAGGAGGAGCTGGAGCAGGAACTGCCATCGGCCTGATCAACAACACCACAGACACATGAAATACACCAATTATCATCACACTTCACCATACTGTTCGATTAGCTGATGTATTTACTAGTGCTGGGCCAAAATATATGGCGGTTAATTGCATCCAAAATAAAAGTTTGTTTTGACATAACATACAGCTGAAGTCAGAATTATCAGCCATCCTGTTGTATATTTTATTCCCCAATTTCTGTTTAACAGAGAGCAGATTATTAGACACATCTCTAAGCATATTAGTTTTAATAACTCATCTCTAATAACTGATTTATTTTATCTTTGCCATGATGACAGCACATAATATTAGACTAGATATTCTTCAGGACACTAGCATTCAGTTTAAAGTGGGTTTTTTAAAGTGTTTATTTTTTATTAGATTAGATTGAACTTTATTCCCATTAAACACGTACAAGGCAACGAAATGCAGTTTAGGTCTAACCAGCAGTATAAAGTGCAACTATAAAAATTAGAAAAGTTGTAAAGAAAGGGCAAATCATTCTGACTTCAGCTGTACATAATTAATTTACACAGTAACCACACACACATATTACTTAATATATTACTAAACTTTAATTAAATCACAATTAGTATTTTCCCAGCACTAAAATAATTACTACAAAGCATTTTCAGCCAAGTGCATCTGGCAATTTCAATTCTAGCTCAGAATTCGGTGCATCCCCACCTAGTGTGTGCTGTATTAGTGTGAGGAGGGGCTGCATGTGGGTACCGTGCGGCCTGGTGGTGGTGTGTGATGTGGTGTGCAGGTGGAGGCTGTGGTGGAGGAGGAGGTGGAGGCGGAGGCGGAGGCGTCTGCTGCTGAAAGAGCTGCTGGAGCTGACGGAGGTGCTGATGAAACTGATGCTGCTGCTGCTGCTGGTGCTGATGAGGGTTGAACATCCTGACCATTCACCAAACCTTCAGAACAACACACACACAAACACACATACATCACTAGGCCTGTCACAATGATCAATATATGGACTTATCACACAACACATGGACATGAGCTCAATCATTTTTGGTGATGCAATACATAAAAAAAAAACATTCTAGCAACATTTGAGCTGATTGTGCAACATCTCTATCTCTATTGAAGGTGTCAGTATGGTTAAAACTCTATATTTACTATAAATTACTATAGTATATTTTCTTTTGGGTGTCTGACAGCTGAAAATAGATCAGATATCGCACCCTCTGATACTCTTCACCTTGCACTTTTGTGTTCACATTTATTATTATTTATTTAGAATATGCATTTACATATTCTGATTCCAATGCCTCAATATTAAATAGTTAAAATGACTATAATTAAATGAAATATGCTTAAGAATAAAATGTGTTCTTTGGAGGAGTGTACTAGCATTGTGATGATATTACATTGTCATTCTTGCATTATAAAGTGGTCCTAAAATGACAACAATATTGTTTATCGCAGAATACTTTGGTGCAATATATCCTACAACAAAAATGTATATTGTGCCAGGCTGTATGCTCCATTAAAGGTGCTGCATGTAGGTTTTCGAATCTTATTATGTATAAAAACATCACTTTAATAATAATAATACCTTTTATTTATAGGTGCCTCTTAAAAGCACAAAATAATAATTAAAAAAAAGTTTTCTGTACAAATATTTGAACTAATTTTATAAATGCTAAAACTAAACTACATTACAACCCTAATAAGCCTAAAACCAGCATTTCAATTCAGACCACAGATGTACAATAAAAAAATAACACAATACAATAAAAACCAACAGTTCTGACAGATTAACACAAAAATCATCCAAATGCAGTCGATCATTCACTAGATTATTGAGGTAAAGTTGGTTTTATATTTGCACATTTGGACTTTCTCTTTGATAATATCTTCAGGAAAAGTGTTGTTTGCTCATTCTAAATAGTGAAATCATATTAGCAGTCAATGACTATCAGAGTACAACACTGTTCAGTTAATTAAATGGTGCCAATGTTGTTTTCAAGTCATAAATGGAATTTTAAAAATTAATTAATGTGTGAATATAAATCCAACTTTACCTCAATTAAGCAATATAGGGATCATGTCACTGTTAAAAATGAATGAATGTGCTAATAGTAAACCAATTTTACCCCATATAAGCAATATAGGGACCATGTCACTGATAACGATGATGAATGAATGTCTAAATATAAAACCAACTTTACCTCAAGTAAACAATACAGGGACTGTGTCACTGTTAAAAATAAATGAATGTGCTAGCATGACACCAACTTTACCTCAATACGACAATACAGGGACTGTTTCACTGTTAAAAGTGAATAAATGTCCAAATATAAAACCAACTTTACCTCAATACGACAATATAGGGACCGTGTCACTGTTAAAAATTAATGAATGTCCGAATATAAAACCAACTTTACCTCAAGTAAACAATATAGGGACCATGTCACTGTTAAAAATTAATGAATTTCCAAATATAAAACCAACTTTACCTCAATACAACAATATAGGGGCCCTGTCACTTTTAAAAATGAATGAATGTGCTGATATAACACTAACTTTACCTCAATTAAGCAACATAGGGACTGTGTCACTGTTAAAAATTAATGTCCAAAAAAACAACTTTACCTCAATTAAGCAACATAGGGACCGTGTCACTGTTAAAAATAAATGAATGTGCTGATATAATACCAACTTTACCTCAATTAAACAATATGGGGACCATATCACTGTTACAAATGAATGAATTTCCAAATATAAAACTAACTTTACCTCAAGTAAACAATACAGGAGCTGTGTTACTGTTAAAAATAAACTAATGTGCTGATATAATCCCAACTTTACCTCAATTAAGCAATATAAGGACCGTGTCACAGTTAAAAATGAATGAATGTCTGAATATAAAACCAACTTTACCTCAATACAACAATATAGGAACTGTGTCACTGTTAAAAATTAATGAATGTGCTGAAACCAATTTATAGAGGTAAAGTTGGTTTAATATTCACACATTCGTTCATATAGTAGTCTCTGTATTGTTTACCATATTACTTTGAATATTCGATCAGAAATAGCATGCAAGTGTGACTTGAAAACAACAATAACACTGTTTATTTGACTGTGAACAATGTTGTACTTTGATAGTCATTTGCTGCTAATATGATTTCGCTATTTAGAGTTTGCAAATAATACTTTTAGGAAATTATATTATTAAGGGGAAAGTCTGAATTTGCGAATATAAAACCAACTTTACCTCATGTAAACAATATAGGGACCGTGTCACTGTTAAAAATGAATGAATGTCCGAATATAAAATTAACTTTACCTCAATAAAACAATATAGGGACTGTGTCACTGTTAAAAACGAACGAATGTCCAAATATAAAGCCAACTTTACCTCAAGTAAACAATATAGGGACTGTCACTGTTAAAAATAAATGAATGTGCTGATATAAAACCAACTTTACCCCATTTAAACAATATAGGAAACGTCTCATTGTTAAATATGAATGAATGTCCAAATATAAAGCCAATTTAACCTCAAGTAAACAATACAGGGACCGTGTCACTGTTAAAAATGAATGAATGTCCAAATATAAAACCAACTTTACCTCAAATAAAACAGCATTACAGTTCAGATGTACAATGCAAAATAACACATTATATTACAAACCAACAATTCTGACTGATTAACATGAACACAAAAATCCTCCAAACGCAGTCAATCATTGACCTGATTCCAGCAGGAGTAGTCTGTGACCTTCAATGTTTACAGTTTAGCTAAGAAATCGACACGAACAAAAACAATAAAGACCAACAGAAGAGCAGCGGTGCTTCACTGTGGCCGTGTCTCAAACCCTCGTCCCCTACATATACAGCAGTATTTACATTTAGCACACTCTAGAACTTGTGCAGCAGCAGTTAAATGCGCAAACATGCACTCTAGTTAGGCAACTTATCAGGGTTTATGACACATCCATAATCTTTATCTGTGCGCTTCATGCTAACGGCTAACCATCAATAAACACTAGCCCTTCAGCGCTCACTCGCGCGAATTCATCATAATACACCATTCAGAAAGCAGGAGTGTGTTTATATGAATAATAAGAGATACCTACCGAGTTTACTGACGAAATAGTGAGTTTATTAGAGGAGAAACGAGCGACAGCCTGTTGAAACTTCCCCTGTCACATTAGCGTCGTGCTAACCATTGACTGGTGCTAACACTCGCTCGCATTCACCGGGTTGGTGCTAGGAGGGATACAGCTGCGGCCGGAAATAGTTATTTATTAAATTATCCATTGAAATGTGGTTTATTAACGTCTACCGCTATCCTAAACTTCAATGTAATGTAAAAACACCAATTATTAAGAGTGATATTTATATTATTTATTAAATTACTCATTAAACTGTATTTTATTAACGTCTACCACTACCCTAACCTTCACAGTAACGTAAAAACAGTAAATATAACGAATATTATTCATATTAATTATTAAACTATCCATTAAATTATATTTTACTAATGTCTGCCCCAACACCAACCCCAGATCCAATCATCACAGTAATAAAAAACATCAATTATACCAAGTAATATTTATATTATATTACCATTAAATTATGTTAACGTCTACCCCCTAAACCAAACCCTCAGTCATGTTAAACAGTAATTATACCTAATATTATTAAAATTATTTATTAAAATACACATTAAACTGTATTTTATTAACGTCTATACCCCTACCCCATCCACCAGTCATGTAAAAACAGCAATAACTATTATTATACATATAACTTATTACATTTCCTATTAAATTGTATCTTATTAACGTCTACCCACTAAACCCTACCCTATCAGCAATGTAAAATCTGAATTAAGGTTGCACAATGTCACAAAAATAATGCTAGAAAGCTTATCTATGGACGTGTCTACAGCTGTATCCCTTCTAGACTCTCGCCGGTGTCAGCGCAGCGGAGTCTCACAGCGACCCTCGCTAGACTGGAGGACACACTGCACACAAAACAAAGCAATTACAGGAGCTGAGGCTGTTTTATTTAATTGCACAAATTTATGTGTGATTTATCAACAGGAAAACATTGATGATATTTGAGTCCTCCTGGAACTGATTTCCTTTTAATCCGCCTAATGCAATATGACTTATCCTAACAACTTTAATAAACCGCGTGCCTCTGTCTTTATTTGGAAGAATATTAAAGGGTTACATTTGCATATTTAGTATAAAATATAAATTAAAAAGGTTAACTCACAGAGCATTTACATTTAGAGAATGAGGGACATTCAGCATTTCACATCACTCAGATGCATTAAACATTGTGCATTTTGTTTATTTTACATCACAAACTATTAGTGCAAGAAGGTCGCTGGTTTGAGTCCCGGCTGGGTCAGTTGGTGTTTCTGTGTGGAGTTTGCATGTTCTCCCCGTGTTGGCGTTGGTTTCCTCAAGGTGCTCTGGTTTCCCCCACAGTCCAAACACATGCGCTATAGGGGAACTGATCAACTAAATTGGCCTAGTGTATGTGTCTGAATGAGTGTGTATGGATGTTTCCCAGAGATGGGTTGCAGCTGGAAGGACATCCGCTGTGTGAAAACATTTGCTGGATAAGTTGGTGGTTCATTCCGCTGTGGCGACCCATGATTACTAAAGGGACTAAGCCGACAAGAAAATGAATGAATTTATTAATTTAGCAGATGCTTTCATCCAAACAACTTAAATTAAAGGATATCATAAATTGTAATTCAATTATTAAAATAAAATATTGTTAAAAAAATAACAAAATATAACACGTAAAGTAAATAAATAAAACATTATAACATACATAATATATATAACATGTATAACATACACTCACCGGCCACTTTATTAGGTACACCAGTCCAGCTGCTCGTTAACGCAAGTTTCTAATCAGCCAATCACATGGCACCAGCTCAATGCATTTAGCCATGTAGATATGGTCAAGAGGATCTGCTGCAGTTCAAAGCGAGCACCAGAATGGTTGTTGCTGCCAGACGGGCTGCTCTGAGTATTTCAGAAACTGCTGATCTACTGGGATTTTCACGCACAACCATCTCTAGGCTTTCAGAGAATGCTCCGAGAAAGAGGAAATATCCAGTGAGCGGCAGTTTGGACGCAAATGCCCTGTTGAGGTCAGAGGAGAATGGCCAGACTGGTTCCAGCTGATAGAAAGGCAACAGTAACTCAAATAAGCACTCGCTACAACCGAGCTCTGCAGAAGAGCATCTCTGAACACACAACACGGCCAACCTTGAGGCGGATGGGCTACAGCAGCAGAAGAGCACACCGGGTGCCGCTCCTGTCAGCTAAGAACAGGAAACTGAGGCTACAATTCACACAGACTCACCAAAACTGGACAATAGAAGATTGGAGAAACGTTGCTGCTCTGATGAGTCTCCATTTCTGCTGACACATTCAGATGCTCGGCTCACAATTTGGGCTCAGCAACATGAAAGCATGGATCATCCTGCCTTGTATCAGCGGTTCAGGCTGGTGGTGGTGGTGTAATGGTGTGGGGGAGATTTTCTTTGGGTCCATTAGTACCAATTGAGCATCAACGCCACAGCCTACCTGAGTATTGCTGCTGACCATGTCCATCCCTTTATGAACACAGTGTCTCCATCTTCTGATGGCTACTTCCAGCAGGATAACGCAGCATGTCATAAAGCTCAATCATCTCAGACTGGTTTCTTGAACATGACGATGAGTTCACTGTACTCAAATGGCCTCCACAGTCACCAGAGCTCAATCCAATAGAGCAGCTTTGGGATGTGGTGGAACGGGAGATTGGCATCATGGATGTGCAGCCGACAAATCTGCAGCAACTGTGTGATGCTATCAAGACAATATGGAGCAAAATCTCTGAGGAATATTTCCAGTATCTTGTTGAATCTCTGCCGCCAAGGATTAAGGCAGTTCTGAAGGCAAAAGAGGTCCAACCTGGAACTAGTAAGGTGTACCTAATAAAGTGGCCAGTGAGTGTATATAACATATAACAATATAAAATGTTTAACATACATTTAATAAACAATAAAAATGTTGAAATGTATGATAATTATGGTGAAAAGTGCTATACAAATAAACTTAAATCAAATCGAATACTTCTTATAAAAAGTAATAAACATAAAACAAGAAGTAAAATAACTTTTTATTCAAAGCAACTCATAAAAATTATATCATAAAATGTAAATAAATTATTAAAAATAATATATTGTAAAAACAAACAGGCTATAACACGTTAAAATATATAAACAATATAAATTGGTTAAAAATGTGACAACAAAATACAATGTTATGGTAAAAAAATATACATAAACAATAGATAAATGTTAAAATCAATATAATGCTAATAAAATATTAATAAACAAACAAATAAGAAGTAAAATGACCGAGGAGTGCGCCGACTAGTGGCAGAGCACGGCGCTGCAGTGCGTGTGTGTGTGCGCGCGCGCTTAGAGTAAAGCAGCTCATCATCTCAGAGGGACTGCAGAGACACACACACACACAGGCGGAGCAGTAGAATAATCGATGCCGCAATAAAGCGCAGTTTCTCCGGCGAGAGCTCGAGTAGGTGACGCGCAGTGAAGATGGGGAACCGCGGGATGGAGGACCTGATTCCGCTGGTCAACCGCATGCAGGATGCCTTCTCCGCCATCGGCCAGAACGCAAACCTGGACCTGCCGCAGATCGCGGTGGTGGGCGGACAGAGCGCCGGGAAAAGCTCCGTGCTCGAGAACTTCGTGGGCAAGTGAGTCGTGCATTTATTATTTCACGATCCGTTAAAACACTCGACGCGAGATGCAGGTCATATTCAGACATATCGCATCCTCCAATCACGCCTCAATGATACGCAAAGGTCACAGACAGTGATGATGATAACCTTTAAATGTTCTTGAGGATCATCTGCTGCAATGGAGGAAAGCAGCAGACATGTTCACAACACGGATAAATCGTGTTACATAATCCCCCTGCACCGTCATCCTCTGTGCTCTCTTCATTATCCAGGAAAACATGTCATTGTTGCATGGTTGTCAGTGTAATCTGCATTCATTAATGATGATGATGATGATGATGCATAAGGTCACTGGGATGAAGAGCAGTAATCTGCATTGTGTGTGAAGGAGGGATGTGAAACATGGATGCTGATGATGCGGCTTCATCTTTGTGTTGTTTAGGGCTGTGGAGGAACACTGAGCAGGCTGATAATGACACTGAACATCTGCTTAACACACACACACACACACACACACACACACACACACACACACACACACACACACACTTATACACACACAATGTCTGTGGTTTCTATAATGCGGTGTTACATTGTTTTCATGTCAGTAGATGCTTTTCATCCCATGCACAGGGTCCTACAACAACAAAAAACACAATATAAATGCATTAATGGTGTTTGCTAGATCAGTTTGACCACCTGCTGGACCATAAAACAGGCAAACAAGTCCCACAGACACACACTGGAGGAGGAACACCAGGCAGAGCTAGATCTACAGAAGATTCGATTGACACACGTGTACAGGAAACCATTTAGCAACGTTCTAACAACCTCTTAGCAACCACCTACCAACACCACTGCAACACAGAGCATCTTACCAATAACCTATGCACTAGCAACCCATAACATATTAGCAACCATATATCAATGCCCTAGCAACCCCCATTTAGCAACAACCTAGCAACCAAGAACAACTTAGCAAACACCTAGCAATGCCATAGCAACCCAGAACACCTTATCAATCACATAGCAACGCCTTAGCAAGCCAGGGCACTGTGGTACCTGACTAGCAATGCCCTAGCAACTCCTATCTAACAACACGCTGACAAAACACCGAACGATGCCCAAGCAACCCATAACATCTTAGCTACAATTTTAACAACACCATAGCAACACAGAATATCTTACCAATCACATAGGAATGCATTAGCAACTCAGATCACCATAGCAACCAGCTTGCTAGCTATGCCCTAGCAACACAATAGTAATGCAGAACATACCAATCACCTCGCAACACCTCAGCAAACGAGAACATGTTAGCAACCACCCAGCAACTCCGAACACCTTATCAACTACCTGGCAATAGCCTAGCAACCAGAACACAGTAGCAACTGTCCTAGGAACCTAGAAACACCCTAGCAACCAAGAACATGTTAGCAACTACCAAGCAACTCCGAACACCTTATCAACTACCTGGCAATAGCCTAGCAACCAGAACAAAATAGCAACTGTCCTAGGAACCTAGCAACACCCTAGCAACCAAGAACATGTTAGCAACTACCTAGCAATCAAGAACACATTAACAATAGCCACACATTAACAACATTGCCCCAATCAACACCTTAGCAACCAAGCACATATTTACAACAACTGAGCTATTCACTGGCATCCCAGAACACCTTAGCAACGACATAGCACCACCATATCAGCCCAGAACATTTTTTAATCACCTAGCAACCTAAAACCCTTAGCACTGTCCTAGCAAACCTCATCGGGCCAAACCTTGGCAACGAAGAACATCTTAGCACTCACCTAACAATGCCCTAGCAACCAAAAACACCATAACTATTACCTAGCAATCCAGAATGCCTTAGTAATCATGTAGCTATGCCTAACAACCAAGAACAACTTAAAATCTGTCCAGTAACCCCCTTCTAGTATCAGCCTCGCAAACAAGAAGTAGCCACCTAGCATGCCCATAGCAACATAGAACATCTGAAACACCGTGCAACACCATAGCAACCAGAACACCTTAGTAAATCACCTAGCAATGACCTAGCAACACCCTGGCAAACCACTTTTTGCAACACCCTGGCAACCAATAACATCTTTGCACACACATAACAATACCCTAGCAACCCAAACACCTTATTAAATCACCCAGCCACCCAGAACACCTTATCAATCACCTAGCAATGCCCTTGCAGCCCAGGACACTGTAGTAACTGTCTAGCAATGCCATACCAACTCCCATCTAACTACACCTTCCTGGCAATCAAAACATCTTAAGAGCTACCTAGCAATGCTCAAGCAACCCAGAACTCCTTAGCAACAATTTATCAAAACCATAGCAACCTAGAACATCTTACTGATCACCTAGCAATGTCTTAGCTAACTCAGATCAGCTTAGCAACTGGCTAGCTAGCTATGTCCTTGCAAATCACATCTAGCAACACCTCTTAGAATCACCATAGTTACACAAGATATACCAACAACTTCGCAACACCCTAGCAACCCAGAATCCTCCAGGAACTTTCTATCAATGTCCTAGTGACACACTAGCAACAAAGAACATGTTAGCAAACACATAGCAACTCAGAACACCTTAATAATCACCTAGCAACTAAGAACTACTGTCTATCATCACCCTTGAAACCCCCATCAAGCAACACCCTGGCAAACATTTTTACAACGACTCTGCATTGCCCTAGCAACCCAGAACACTTTTGCTACTACATAACAACCTAGAGCATCTTATCAATCACCTAGCAACACTTAGCAACATAGAATACCTTAGCACTGTCTAACATTGCCTAGCTAACCCAATCTAGCCAAACCTTGGCAACCAAGAAGATCACCTTAACAACCACCTAGCAACACCATAGGAACTCAGAAGACCTTAGCATGACTAATCATTGCCCTGGCAAACTCAATTCAGCAATATCCTGTCAACCAAGAACATCTTAGCAACCACTTAACAATGCCCTAACAACTAAAACAAATTTACCATCACCTTACAACCCAGCAGACCATATAAAGTGTCTAGTAATGACTTAGCAACAGTAACCATCTAGCAACACCCTGGCAAACAAGAACATCTTAGCAACCACTTAACAATGCCCTAGCAACCAAAAAAACCTTAACTTTCACCTAGCAAAATCCTAGCAACCCAGTACACCATAATAAATGTCTAGCAATGACTTAGCAACACCCTGGCAGACAGGAACGACCTATCAACCACTTCAAAATACAATAACAACATCTTTGCCTACCAACCAAGGACATTGCAGTAACTGTCTATCTAGCAACATCCTGGCAAACAATAACATCTTAGCAACCACTTAGCAATGCCCTAGCAACCAATAACACCTTAACTATCACCTAGCAATCCAGAATGATGTATCAATCACATAACAATGCCCTAGCAACCCAAAACACCTTAGCAACTGGCTAGAATTACCCTGGCAAACCCCACCTAACAACATCTTAGGAAGTACTTAACAACACCCTAGCAACCCAAAAACACATTCACTATCACCTAGCAACACCTACCAACCCAGGACATTTTAGTAACTGCTTAACAGTAACCATCTAGCTACATCCTGGCAACCAAGAACATCCTAGCAAACACTTAGCAATGCCCTAGCAACCAATTACAACTTAACTATCACCTAGCAATCCAGAATTATGTATCAATCACAAAACAATGCCCTAGCAACACAGAACACCTTAGCAACTGTCTGACAACGCTCTAGCAACTCCCTGGCAAACAAAAACATAATGACAACCACGTAGAAACTCCCTAGCAACCCAAAAAAACTGCATCCTCTTTTATTTTAGACAGAGGAAAACAGCGCTAATCTGTGTATGTGATGCGGCGTTGTGTGAGGGTGTGGATTGTGGTTTATTCAGGCTGTTGTGTGTTACACTGACATTCACTGTGAGTGTTTTTGGACTGATGATGTCTCTGGAGGGCGATGTGTGTGTGTGTGTGTGTGTGTGATGCTGCATGATTCAGCAACTCTTCAGCTGATGGAGTCGTGCATGCTCAGATGAAAACGTGTAAAACACAGACACAGCTGCAGCTCTAATTAATTAATTAGTTAATATTTGCATTAAAAATGATCACAAGACATGCGGTACAGGTGAATTGGGTAGGCTAAATTGTTTGTAGTGTATGAGTGTGTGTGTGAATGTGTGTGTGGATGTTTCCCAGAGATGGGTTGCGGCTGGAAGGGCATCCGCTGCGTAAAAACTTGCTGGATAAGTTGGCGGTTCATTCCACTGTGGCGACCCCGGATTAATAAAGGAACACCAGTATGTTAAGATTAATTAATTATATTGTGTAGATGACAAACAAACATTTAGAGAGGTGGCTCAGTGGTGTCACATTGTGGCCTCACAGTAAGAAGGTCGCTGGTTTGAGTCTCGGCTGGGTCAGTTGGCATTTCTGTGTGGAGTTTGCATGTTCTCCCCGTGTTGGCGTGGGTTTCCTCCGGGTGCTCGAGTTTCCCCCACAGTCCAAACACATGCGCTATAGGGGAACTGATCAGCTAAACTGGCCGTAGTGTGTGAGTGTGTATGGGTGTTTCTGAGTCCGGGGTTGCAGCTGGATGGGCATCCGCTGTGTAAAACATATGCTGGAATAGTTGGCAATTCATTCCGCTGTGGCGACCCCTGATTAATAAGAGACCAAGCCGAAGGAAAATGAATGAATGAATGAACCAGCGACCTTCTTGCTGTGAGGCACTACCTACTGCGCCACTGCGTCTCCTATTTTAAAATTAATTTATTATTATTTTATTTATTTAAAATGAGAATAATTTTTTGCACAATTTAAAGAAATATATATTTTTTGTTTATTTTTATTTTACTACAAAAAATTTACTGTTTTCTTTGCAACATTCTGAAAATAACATAAATAACACCAATATATGAACATTAATACACTACTCTTTGATTTTATGTATCATTTTCTATTTTTGGTTGTTATGAGGTCTTGCAGATGGTCAGAG